GGGTTCCTGGGAGGCCCTCTGGTCCCTGGAATTGAACCCGAACAACAGTTTTGGCCTCCTGGCTACACAGGGACAGCTCTGCCCTTTGTGGGATGTAGCTCTGGAGGGGGCCCACATTGGCTAAGGACCGGTCACGTTCATCAGCCACCCAGCTCTGTCTTCTTTTCAGAGAAGGCCCAGCCAGGACCACTCTCCAGCTTCAGCAGCCTTGCCAGTGCCAACAGTCCAGCTGTGCTGAGGCTAAACCTCACGTCTCTTCTGATCATAGAGGGTCGGCCGCCAAAGCTCGCTGGCAACCATCCATCTGTTCAAGGGGGTGAGACCAAAATAGACCTCCTCTTGGTCCTACTCTCAGATGGGGCTTTCTGAGTGGTTCCTTAAATGGAGGCAGGTGGGGCAGCCACCCCGTCTGACTCTGGGACTTGGAGCGGGGTGGGAAATCAATTCTCAGGAGGGATGAGAAGCAGGCCCCGACTCTAGGAAAATGCACATTTCCATGTGCTAAAAGCATCGTTGTGGGACATGACAGAGAGAGAGAGGCAGTTCCTATGGCCACAGAGGCCAAGTGAGTGGCCAGGCCAAGGCCAAGACCCGGCACGCAAAGGGTGAAGCTTTTAGGCGAGCAGCGGCCAGTGATCTCAGCTTCCCCCAGTCCTAATGCTCCTGAAAGGCTCTCTCCCACTCCCTGTAATTGGGCATCAGTAGTTAATGCAGTATTGACTGCATTACACGCTCCCGTGCCTCCCCTCACTAATGCCAATTGCATCACCTTGTACAGTCACCGGCTTGCTTAGCCAATAGCCGTTAAAAGCAATCCAAATCATGAATCATATGGGAAACTTTTAGCAAGACACTGCCATCCAAGGAGACAATTTACAGTTGAGTTAATCTGGGTACATTAGCGAGACATGGATTCCGGACGACAGACCAATTTATGTTGTTTCCCTGTCCCCCCACCCTGCCCCCCCCAATCCCAAGTTCTCCGCATGGGCAGATGAATGGAAGAGCAGGGAACAGACAGAAGCACCTGCTTTTTACCGTGAGCTTTGGGAGGGGGTTGGGGAAAGCAATCCTTACAGGCTCCCTGCCTCACTGGGTTTGGGCAGGAAGGGGACATAGCTGTACATGCTGCTCAGATTTTGTGATACTTCGTTCCCCTGCATGAGATGGCTGCAGCCCAGGCCAGACTGGTGGGTGCAGATGGAGACCCTTCTCTTCAGGCACACGGCGGGTGCCAGGCCTGGTCCCCACCATGCCAGCCTCACAAGGCCCTTACCAGCCCTCAGCAGAGAGCAGTGTCCACCAGGCTCCACCCTCCTGCCGATGGGTTGGGGTCTGCACTGTGGAACAGCATCAGGACCCACTCCCTCCCTGCCTTTCCTCCAGGGCCAGGGAGGTCCTGGCCACACTCTGCTGGGAGAGGCCCCTAGAACCCTCCGTGGTCCAGAGCATGACGGGATATTCTAGGAAATCCTGCCGGTCAGTAGCCAAGTGTAGCTGAGAGCCTGCTCCCATGGATCAACCAAGTCTGCTGTGGAGGTGGTGCTCACAGTGGTCATTAACAATTGAAGATGCACTGTCTGGTCCTCCTCAGCCCAGTTCCACTCTCCTTAGGTGTTTTTAACTTATTAAAAATGCCCTAGGAATTAAGTCTGGCGTTTAGTTCCAATGCCTGCCTGCTGTTTCCTGCAGCCGCCCCGGCCCTCCTGCTTACAGAGGGAGCTTACACCCAGACCTGCCCTTCTGCAGCACACACGTGGGGCCACCCCTTGGGGGTGACTTCAGCACGCTTTCCTGCCCATTCCTTCACAACCTGAGGCTCTCCCTCTTTCTGGGGCTGCCTGGACCCTCTGCTGCCTACCCCTACTCTAGGGCCATTTCTCCAACAGCCTGAGAGCTAATCTGACTCTTCAGGGTTCAGGGCTATAGCTCCCCTTGGACCACAAACCTCCCCGGAAAGCCCACTGCCTGGTGCCAGTCCAAGCACAGGTGCCAGGGGGAGAAGGGCGCTTTCTCCAGGAAAGTTGGAGCTGGGCTCCCTTTGCTGACAGGCAGGCCCCACAGCATGGAGAAAGGCAGGACCCTGAGTTCCAGTAAAGTGGAGCTGGCTAGGCCAAGAGCAAGCATCCAAATGAAAGCAATTAATCTTGAAACCCGAAGTTTAACCGTTTGCAAAACAGATCTTTCCTCTCTGTGGTGGCCCTTCACTGCTCGACCTAATGGATTACTTTATTAATAATGCACTGTGCTTAAAAGCAAAAAAAAAAAAAAAATTTTTTTTTCTGACGATTCAATACTTCAGAAAGTCTCTTAAACCCGTTGCTACGGCAAAGCGATTGATATTTTATTATCTTTCAGAAGTGCAACATGAAAGCCCTGCAACCCAGCAGAGCAGGAGCTTTGGTCCTCGGCAGCTGGCGGACCTGACTTCAACCAGAGGAGCCCGGGCCTCTTCCCACAAGATGCTGTCAGGTGGAGAAAAGGCGTTGGGGGTGGTTAATAGGAGCCTGAGTTCCCCGCTGCAGCCAGACAAAGGGTGCAGTTCACAGCCGGGAGGAACACACTCCTCAGGGGCCCTGGAGACCAGTGCTGCCACCCATCCCAGACAGCCACCTGCTGGGAGAGCATTAAGTGTGAGGAAGGAATTAGGCAGCAGGTTTGGGCGGGGTGAGGATGTGAATGGGTCTAGAACCTTTCTCCCTCCACCCAGCTGAAGGTACCACCTTCAAGATTTCCTGGAACCAGGAGATGCTAGATTCCAACAGGGAATGGAGGGTGGATTTATGAGTTAAAAGGCTGCTTTTGAAAGACAGATCTAGGCTGAGCAGGACATGAATCAAATGACTCCTCAGGACTTAAGCCAGTCTTCTTCCTTGTGCTGTGAGGGGTCCCAGAGCGCAGTGATCTCAGCACTACTGGGCACCACATCGTTAAGACTGGACAGGGTGGGGGACCTTAGGGCAGAGTCAGCTCTTCTCTACAGGTCTGAGGCACACTAAGGGAAACACATATACCAGGGGGGCAGGCAGGAGGCTGGCTGAAATGACCTCCAGAGAACCATTTCCATTTGGGGCTCATCTAGAAACCTTTAGTACATAGAGCGGAGGCATTCTGGGGTGCCAGCACAGGGTACAGGACCTGAGGTGCTGGTGGTGGTATTATCTTGTCAGCTGGAGGCCAGTCTTCCTGCCTGAGGCCACCTGTGTACAGGGCCCGGGTCTTCTGGATTTCTGGCTTGGGCCTAGGGAGTCAATGCCAAACAATCTGGGCTGAAGACATACCCCAATTTCCAAATGCTCCCCATGGTGGGAGCACCTCCAAACACCAAGGAAGGACCTGGCGGCACTGGCTCCTCCCTTTACCAAGAGGAAAAGTCTGGACTCGAGATGGGCATGACTGATCCAAGATAACACCGGGAGTCAATGAGAACAGAGCTAAAGCAAAGACTCCTTCCTCCTTGCCTGGTCTCACCCCAGACCTCTTCTCCTTTCCCATCTGTACACGCCTGCACCAGCCCAGCCCTCCAATGGCCCACCTGGGGCTCCAGGGGAGGGACCCATAAAGAACAGCACACAGGAAGTGGATGTCTCACCCTAGCCAAACCCTGGCAAACAGATTCTTTTGGCCAGAGCATTTAGTCCTCCTCCCCCCTCTCTTTCTACACACATGCCCAGAAATGGGCTGACCTGTCACAGTGCTCCCCCACGTGCCACTCCTGGGACAGATATTTTAAATGGCCCTTCCTGCCTGAGGCCTCAGTGGGTGGGAAGGGAGGCCAGGGGCATCGGCACACAGCGGCAGCAAAGCGAACATCCTGTGTGACCCTACATCACTTAACTTCAGACTTCCACCAAGTGACCACGTCAGGAACACCACCGACCTGGAGGGCAGAGGGCACAGACCTCCACACTCACTGGGAGAGGTCAGCTGATGTCACTCTAAGAGGACTCCCACTGACTCACAGAAAACCGCTCTTCTCAGGTCCTCACCAGCAGTACAATGCAGATGGGGCCTGGGTGCTAACAATTACATTCATGTCTCCCAACAACACTAACCCACCAGGTAACCCTCACCTCCAGGGCAGGAGGGCCTCGGCCAGGGCCAGGGAAGGGCCACTCTCTCGACCAAGAGGGCTGCCCCTGGGTCACAGGACACCCACTGGTTTTACCCTCATGGGGGCTGGGTTCTCCGACCTGCGCTGCACATACCAGGACAATTACTGCAGAACAGTCGCAGTCAGGAAGGCTTTGGGTGTGTGAGACCACCTGCTAGTGGCTTCTAGCCACCACGGGCCCCTCTATTCTGACCTCTCAGGCGCAGTGAAGCTCTTGATCAGGGTAGGTCCTGGTGGCCCCGGCACGCATGCTACTGGCCAGGAGTGGGACACTTTCTTTCTCTGGGCCAAACTCCTGCCTCCGAGCTCAAGAGCCGCCAGGGAGACGGTGGGCAGCTCAGGAGGCGTCCCTTTATCTCACCGAGTTTTCGGGCAGCCGTGTCCCCAGTGGTCCGGCCGGCTTTCCCCCTGGCCTGCCGGGCACCCCGGTGGCCACCTTCTTTCTGCGCGCCAGCCGGCCGCAAGCTCTGGAGTCCGATTTCCCGAAGCCACTGATTTGCTCGGCGCTCAGCGCCTCTCGGGTTACGCGTGCGGCGCGAGGGTGATGGCTGCGGTGAGACGAGCAGCCGCAAAGACGAAACGCTCTACGCGAACCGCTGCTGCGCCGAGATCGGAGGGCAGCCGGAGCCTCCACGCGGCCCCGCAGAGCATCACACTGCCAGAGCATAGCTCGCCCGCCCGCGGTCCGTTCCGGCCTGGCCCGGCCCCGGGGGCGCGCAGCCCAGAGCTCCCTTGCCTCCCCAGTCCCCAGACCCCTGGGGACCGCCCGCCCCGCCAGGGCAGCACAGCCCGGCGTGTGCGCGCCCGTGTCCCGGCGTGTGTGTCCCCGCGCGCCGCGGCGGGGGTGCAGGGGCGCGGGGAGTCGGGACCCCCGCCCGCCACCTACCGTCCTCCTTGTCCAGCACCATCATCTCGGGCGCTCCGTGTCCAGCCGCAGTTCGACTCGGCCGGGAGAAGGGCGCCGACTCCGGGCGCGCTTCGGCGGGGCGGCCGGTCCTCGGGCAGCGAGCGGACTCTAATTACCCGCTTGTCCGGCTCTTAACCTAGATTGCACTCAGCTAGAATTACATTCAGGAGTGAAGCACTTCGCAGATACAAAAGCAGTCTCACCTACTTTTGTGCCTCAGAATTGCAAGGAACTACGAACTGCAATTTGGAGAGGGAGAGGGAGAGGGAGAGAGAAGGGGGAAGAGAGGATCAGAGCCGTTTCTTTGATTCTCACCTTCTAAATGGCTCAATTTGCCCAGTATAATCTGTCTTAATGTAATTGCATTTGATAGCTCATAACCCTGGCTCTGGCAACGACACAGCTTTCAGCCTCATAAAGTGTTTTCCCCTCGGATTTAATCTGAATCTCAATCTAAAATTATATTCAAAGAGATGGGGGAATCTCGGCGGCCGTCTCCCGCTGCCTTTCTCCCTCAATGTATGAGGTTTGCACTCCTGCTACTGAATAAATGCACACATTTCCCGAGGCCCCCCTCCCTCCCGACTTAATGGGGAGTGGAGACGCGCGGCTGCCCGGCTCCGCAGCGCCACCTGGAGGCCTCTAGGACTCAACTCGGCGCGTGGCTCTGCTCAGGACCCTGGGTCCTCATTCCCAATCACTATCTGGTAGACCACTCGTCTGTCGGTCCCCTCAGCCTTGATTTTGGCCCCCTCCCAAGGGGCACTCTTTTTCTGACTATGTACCCTCCCTTCCTACCTCCTCTCTCCGGGGTTCCTGGTTGCTTCCTGGATTGTTTGGCGAAGTTAACCCTCTGCAGGGCACAGATTTTCCCACTATTGAGTCTTTCATCACCATCCTTACCCTAGCAGCCCCTCGGAAGAGCATCCTGATTTCACAGAGAATGAGATCCTGTCTCAGCTTCTATCTGAGCAACCACAGCATGGCCTTGAAGTTTATTATTTTCATTCCACACTATTTACTGAGCACATATTATGCACCAAGCTCTATTCTAAGGCATTGGGGATACAGCAGTGAAAACAGATTCCTACTATTACAGTTGATGATTCTTGCTAAGTAACGCAGGAGGCAGGAAGGGATGCAGTGTTCATCTCCTCTCCTTCTGAACCCTGCTTCCCTCTGTGCACCCTGGGGCTGGTGCCCAGGCTGCCTTCTCCAGGAAGACCACTCTTCAGTATTAAGGGCTTTTTTCCCCCCTCTTGACAGTACAGAGTTCCAGGATGTGATAGAAATCTAAACAGCTCTTCTCCAGACACAGGTGCCAGATGTTCACCCCTGCAGTCACTTCTAAGGATTAGATCCAGGCAAGGAGAAGGAAGCTGGAGTCCTTGGAGGGGCAAAGGGCCACCACGACTTCATCTTGTCTCTGCCTATTACCAATAGGGGACATTTGCAAGTCATTTTCTCTCCCTAGGGCCTCAGTTTCCCTGTCTGTGAAGCGGAAGACCTCCAAATTTGCTGTGGGGATCAGATGAGACAATGCATATGAATGTGCTTTGTAAACTGTGGCACCCCGGACAAAGGGGGGGGGGCAGTGGGTACAAAAGAGATTTGAAGGCCAGGTCATGCCCCTTAAGCCCTAGGGGGCCCCAATGTGGGGTGCTTGATGGGAGGGGGAAGGGGAGAGGGGCTGGTGCTGAAGCCCACCCTCCTCTACCCTAGGCAGGAAAGTCAAGCTTTGAGAAAACAGAAGAGAGGCTGCTTCTAATGAGATGCTTCATCCGCAGCTCAGAGAGTTTCGCTTTCCCCTTCATCTTGAATACTTAATCCTAATAGTCCTTGAGTATATTTGATGTTAAATATATCATTTTGCTCAGACTCACCATCCCTCAGGACTGCGAGCTTGATCTCTCCCCTGCCACTGCAGCTCAACTGTACCCTGAGGGTCTGAAGGAGGCTTTGGCACTGCTGCCGCCGGCACATTTAGTGCCAGCCCCTCACCCCAGCCTGAGCTGGGGGCCTGACAGTGCAGCAAGCACTGGACCCGGCAGGCTGGCAAGGGGGAGCTTCTTTCTGTAGACACCTCTGTGCTACCTGGAGGTGTTCACTCTAAAAGGGCTGTGGCCTTACTCCTGGCCTCGGGGACTGCTGCTCCTCACTCTCAGGGTCTGGCCCTGACCCACAAACCCGACCTTGATTAGTTGGGGCCACTTTCTCACTCTCAGGTGTTGTGCTTGGGACTCTGTCCCAACATTAGCTCTCCCCAGCTCCCAAGGTGCCCAGTTAGCAGCCACACAGTTAGCAGCAGCTCTTTTGGGAGTCAGGGGCCTTGCAGCCCAACCCAGGGACTGGAGCAGGCCTGGGTTACAGAACAATGGCCTGTAGAAGAGGCTGGGGTGTGAGCAGGGAGTTGGTGCTGTGGGTGAAGGGCTAGCTGCCTTTGCCCACAGGCAGCTTCCTCTGTAGCCCCAGTGACCAGCACTGAGCTGCCACACTCATCTGGAGAAGGGCCTCCACAGAGGCCTTCTGGTGGACAGGGCTACCCAGCAACCTTTGGACGCTTTGGGTGACCTGAGCTCCCACCCAGGAAGGGGCCTGCTGGGCTGACAAATCCAGGCAGGAGCCTGGCTCCTCCAGCAGCCTCCCTCTCAGCTTATGGGTAATTGTTGGGCAGGGAGGTAACTCCTGTGCCTATGCTCACTCCCACCCAAGCTGCCTTCAAGTCCAGGGGCACACCCACAACACTGAGGTGGGATTCTCATGTCTCCTGGGGCTGGGGGTTGGTGGTGGGGGGTATCTGCACCTGACACATTCCACAGGTGATGAGCATGTACTCGCACTGTGATACTGCCAAGAGTGCTCCAAAATGCCCTTGAAATGCCTCTAGGGACAGCAGACGGAGGCCAGCTTTTCAACCCCCTAGGTTACAGTGAGCAGAAAGGAGGTAAGCCTGGCTGCTTTACAAAGTTTTGGGCAGGTCCTAGCAGTTTGTCATTGCATCTGGCAGTAAAGTCCTGATGAAGGATTCCTGCACTGGGGTTGTGGGGGAGGGGGCTGAAGACTTGATGCCCCCGGGGGCCCAGCAGACCAGATATTCCAGAACTCCTCAGCGGGGCTTGACACATGTGCCTTGGCCTGAGGGCCTGCTTCCAGCTCCAAGCTGGAGTTACAAGCTGGCCTCACAGGTGACACTCAAATGGGGTATCCGGAGTGACAAAGGCCTGTTCCCAGTGGCCGCCACAGAGTGGGACAGAGTGAATCTACAGACTTTGCGTACAATCAGGATGCCTGCTGGCCAAGTTCAGGTGCCCCGTCCTGCCCAGCCCCCTACTCCCACAAAGCAGCCCATGTATAGGGATTTGCAACAAACTAGAGTGGCAAAGCACACAGTTGGCAAACTTTTCCTCTTTCGGTTTCTGGAAGCCCAGGACAGCCCTTCTAGGAAGCTGCCGTTATAACTTGTTAGGTTTTGTGAGGGCCTATGCAGAATCTGCCCTCCAGAAAACAAGTCTCCCCGCCCCTTCAATGAAGGCCAACCCACCCCTGCACAACAGCCCAGAGAAGGTTGTGGATATAGGCTGTCGACCAGATGTCCTAGTTTGCCCTAGTTCTCTGGACTGAGGGGCTTCCAGGACCTGGGATTGTCAGTGATAAAACAGGGATGGTCCTGGGCAAACCGGGACAGTTGATCACCCTATTGGGAGGTAGCAGGGTGGGACAAGGGACTAGCGGAGCCAGAGAGAAAGGCCAGGCACCCAGACCCCTCCCTGCAGACCAGTAGCTGCCTCCCAACCCCCAACTTCCCAGCCTCCTGCCTCAGGGCTTCATTTCCCGGGCACCGGAGAACTGCCCTAGCAACTGTGGATGCTCCATGGACCAGCAGAGCTGTGAGATCTGCTGAGAGACTGGCAGTTACGATGGGAAGGGTGCAAGCTGGACCCAGGGATGCTTAGATTTTGCGAGAGTGAAGCTTCCTTATGCAACTAGGGTTGGGGTGGGTGGGTTAAGGGTCTTTAAGAAAAAGAATAGGAGATTTACTAAACAAAATTACAACGGAAGGGCTCTGAAGCTTAAAAACTCATTCCTTCAAGGTGAATCCGCCTCTGCTATCTTGGATATACAGCCCATCCACATGCCCTAATCAGCAGTGCACCTCCCAGCACTCTGGGCTCGGGGAACTGACCGGCGAGAGTCCTCCCCAGCTCGGCCAGGTGTGAAGCCACGTCACCCATCTCGCAGCTCTGAAGTTCCAGACCTGAGGAACCCCAGGGTGCTGGTTGGACGGCACCCTCACCCCGGGGTTCTCTGGGCATCCTCCTGGGGGAGCCTTTCCGAAGCGGTGCAGAAGCGGGAACATGCAGATAACCAGTGGGGAGGCAGAGAGACTGGGGTCAGTGGGCACTGCGGGGAAGCCCACGGCGCGGATCGGAAAGGCGCTCCTTTGCCCGCGAGGCGGCAAGAGCCACTGAGAAAGTTCCCTGCCCGAGAATGCAGGGCTGCCGGGCTTGGCTGGCCCGTGTGACTTCCTAATCCGGCTGAGGAGCCTCGGGCTGAGCCCGGCACTTCGACACTCACCCGCGCGCACCTCCACCGCCGGGCTTCCGGGGAGCCGGCCAAAGGCGGCCAGGGCCGGGCGCGGGGGACGCTGCCGCCGCCCTCGCCCTGCGCCCCGCCGGTCCCCGGGCACCTACCGTCCTCTTGGTCCAACACCATGGTCCCCGGCGGCTCCAGCCCGGCCCGGGCCGAGGACGCGGAGGGGCGGGCGGCTCGGACTCCGCCGTCGCCCGTCTGCTTTGCTCCCGCCGGCCCCGCGCGGGCTCCGCGCCCGCCGAGCGCGGCCGCTGACTGGGTCGGATCGACCCGCGCCCGGAGCTGAGCCCCACCGGCGAGGAGCTCCCGTGGGCGGGCGGGACGGCCAGACCCGGGGGCGGGGCGGGACGGAGCCTCCCCGGGGAGGGGGCGCCGCCGCCGCCGCAGCCCCCGCGCGCTCTTCTCTCCGCGCGGCCCGCGCTCGCTCAGCCGAGTGAAGAAGCCTGCGTTTCCCAGGGCCCCTCAGATTCCCCTGTTAATTAAATCAATTCATTATGTTCAGATCTGATTAGCGGCCCTTCCCCCCCTTTGAATCAATTATTCAATACACAAACATAATTGCTTGGGCCAGAGGTGCCCGCCATTAGCTTATTTAACTCCAAGGACACTAATTACCCGCAGGGCACGGGAACTTTTCTCATTAATTCTGACAAAACACAAAAGCACAGCCAGAGTGTGTGCGTGTGAGGGACTCTGTGTGTGTGTGTGTGTGTGTGTGTGTGTGTGTGTGTGTGACCACATGCCGGAGTGAGGGCTGTGTGGGGTAGTGAGACACCGTGGGAGCTTCAGCTTCAGCTCGGACTTCGGGGAGGCGGAGTGTGTGCGATTTCGGGTGGGAGTGTGTGGGCTGTCGTTTTGAGTCTGTGACCCTGTCCTTGCGAGTGTGGGACTCCCCATGTGTGACTGTGAGTGCATCGGGGTGAATGCGGCTCTGGGGCTG